CTATTTCTCCATTTTCTCCATTCTTCACATATACATCACATTCCTGTGCATTCTTTTCTCTTTCATTATTTCTTGGTCAACTCATATATCAAACATGTTCTCATTAGTTTTAAACGCAGTAACCATTCAAACATTATCTAACAATTTATCAGAATTCATAATTTCCCCTATTACAAAAAATCCTAATCAACCATTGCTCACCTTCTCTTGGTCAACAACTTAGTAGCACACTCATACATCAAATTTTAGGTTTTTATAAACCGAATTTAATACTACCAAAATAGATTTTGTTCAGGGTGCTAGATGCTATAAGCATGAAGGACCTCTATTATCTCTAATTGTTGATTAACTCTTCCTCTCCTTTAACCGTCCCCTTCTTCTTCAGTCATTTCCTTTACTTTCATTCTCATCAAGTCTCTGAAGAGCTCAGCCTCTTTAATTTTAAATTTAATCACTTATGTTATAACTTTAATTTCTTCAGCCAGTAGATTTCTAACCCCTTTTTTCAATTTATTAAACTTACTTTTACTAACGTTTTCACCATACGAGCAGTCTTAAACAAAGTCATTTAAATACGAGGTCTTATATTAGCTTCAAATATTTACTTTTCAAACTTTACCTTGTCCTAGATGTGATAAACATAAAAGGATAATTTTCATATTATATAAGCTAACCTAACATAAAATACACTTTTAGACCACATTCCATACAACAAAAAGTAACATAGGTTGCCTAATGCACATGTCATTCTCTTAAACATGACTTTAACACCAACGGTAATTCCACATCTTTTATACCCTACATTAATAAATAAAAAGTTTTTAAATCCCAACACTTGGATTTCTGTTATTATTTTTAATATCATTGAAAAAATTTTTTGAATCTTTTGGCTGTAGTAATACTATGTATAACTAATATAGTTTTCTGTTACATTGACATTTTGTTTTCGACACCGTTCATAGGTATCTTGTCAATCAGTTACCAGCTGTAGTCCGTTTAAAGAGGTTTACTCTCCGGACACTGGGACTCACTTCAAGCATGTTACCTGAAGTCAAATTTAATTTAATATTTAACATCACAGTTTTATAACAACAATATGTACAATCTTTAATAACTACATGTAATTTAAAGGGTTTTTACACTGGTATTTTAGTGGCTCAGTCATTTTAATCTAGTAAATATAACCATTTTTACTTTTTAACCCTAGTCAAAATTTTAAAAAACCACGTTTGCTTTAACTAAATGGTTTATACTTATTTTAGGCAATTTTAAACCTGATTATGGACTGTTTAGTCCGAAAACGATTGTTTTTTTGACGTAGCCCTTTTAAGGGTTTTTAAATAAATATACCCATTTACAAAGACTAACCTCTTTTTTTATCAACCTCTAATTCTGACGTTGTTAAATATCAAATATTTAAGAGTTCTACAGGTTTAATAATATAAACAATGTATATGACAATTCAGAAAAACTAAATTACCTAAGATTCGTACAAGATCTGGTCCATATTACTGCCTCAATGTAATAAATGAACTCAAAGATGTAGCACAAAGACCATATCACAAATTTAATAAAAGACAACAATAATAGCAAACTTAGTTCCAAGAAAGTAAGTGTAGGTCACAAAGAGGTTCGTAAAAGAAGTGTAAAGGAAACTATAGGATACATTTCTAAACTGACTTATACGTAGGTTATTTTTCTCTCTTTAAATTACAACCAACCAGTTACCAAGTTCATCGAAATGAGTTAAGACCAAATACTTTTTGGGTTAAAAGTAGAACCCTTTTATTTTGAGAGTCACTTCAAGTACGTTCATAAAAAAATATCAAAAAAACTTTACTTTCTAAGTAGAATATCTTAAAATTTATCAATGGAATCAGAAATAACAGTATATAACACAATTATTTAACCCCATTTTGACTATTGCTCATCAATCTTATATTTATTTAACCTTAACAAACTTAACATGCTACAAAAATTACATAACCGTAAAATGAGTATAATTCTTAAAACAAATCGCCGTAATTGGGACGATGTTAAATACTCGAAATTGGTTCTCTGTTGAAAACGACTGTTTTATTTCATCAAAATTTTGGTCTTCTTAAAGCATGAATTCCCAGATCTTTGGTCTCAAGCAATAATCATTCCCATTGTTAAACCTAATAAACCAAAAGACAATCCTATCTCTTATCGACCAATCTCTTTTACATGTTGCGTATGCAAGATCTTAGAAAAAATTTTAAACCTCCGCCTTATATGGTACTTAGGAAATAATAACTTTCTTACTCCCTTCCAAAGTGGTTTTCGAAGAGGCAGGTCCACATTAGATAATCACGTTGCATTACAGACTTCAATTAATGAAGCTTTTGCAAATAACCAAAGACTGATAGCAATATTTTTCGATATAACCCAAGCCTACGATAGAGCATGGAGACACTGTATTCTACAAACATTGAAAGATACTGGTATTCAAGGTAACATACTTGCATTTATAAATTTTTTTTTTAAAATCGGTCAATTCAGATTTGAATAAATGGTGTTACAAGCTCATCTAAGATACTAGATAATGGAATTCCTCAAGGTTCGATTCTTAGTCCAACTTTATTCTTAATCGTTATTAATAGTATTATGGATGTAATTAAAGCGCCCATTAAAGCTAGTCTTTACGCAGATGACATTGTTATTTATACTAAATCGAATAATGTAATGACAGCAACTAAAATTATACAGAGTTTTCTAAATCGACTTTGTAATTGGATGATAAAAACGGGATTTATTTTTTCTACTGAAAAAACACGATACATTATTTGTAATAAAAATAAAACCCACCTCACAACTAGTATAACACTAATTAATTTACCTTTAGAACAGTCAAAAGAAATAAACTTTCTAGGTCTAACTTTTGAGAGAACTTAAATTGGAATTTGCATATAAATAAACTACAGCTTTCCTGCCAAAAGAGATTAAATAAACTCAAAATAGTATCCAACAAAATTTGGGATGCTGATCATCAAATATTAATTAGGCTTTACAAATCGCTCATTAGGACAAAATCGACTATGGTTGTATATGTTACGATGCTGCATGTAAAACCACTCTAAAAAAACTAAACAGTATTCAAACTACAGCTTTAAGATTAGCACTGGGAACTTTTAAAACGAGTCCGGTTAGTAGTATGCAAGTTCTAACTGAAGAACCTCTCTTACATATAAGACGACAGCAACTCTCCTAGAACTACATTACAAAGATATTATCCCAGAAACAGCATCCTGTATTTTTCCATATCTGCAACACTGGCCTTCCTTCTAACAATAAGACTAAAAACTCTACACCCCTCATAGAAAGAATAAAGCTTACAACTTTCGATAGGAATCAATTTCGATAGGAATTTCAATACATCGCTACATATAAATGAAATCTATCCCCCATAGACAAGCCACGCATTAACTATTGATGTAACACTTACCAAATATCCCAAATCAACTACAAATTCCACAATAATTAAATCTCTATTTATGGAAATTGTAGACCACTATCCTATATATTTGCAAATCTTTACAGATGCATCTAAAACTCCCAATGGTCACGCTGCTGCCTACTATTGTAAAAAAAATTCTTATAGCATATTGATACCACCAACTGCAGTATACTAGCAGGTGAAGCTTTAGCTATTTTGGAAGCCCTAATCTTCTTCGAAAAGAGTAGAACGATGAAGTGCATTATCGTAACAGACTCATTAAATGCATTACTGAAACTGAAACAAATAGATACCAACAACCCTATTATGCAGAGTATAAAAAACGTACTAGAAAAATTTCCATCATTAGGAAAGGGAGCGGCTTTTATTTGGGTACCTTTACATACAGGTATTTACGGAAATAAAATAGCAGATCAACTGGCTAACAAAAGTCGAATGAACTCAAACCATACTGCACAATTGAAGACATATCCGTACACCGATCTAAAAACCTGATTAAAATCCATTGTAATAATACTTTATATTAGGTACTAAATTAAAATTAGGTACTAAATTAAATGTAATTTGCCCAAAAATAACTGATGGGTTGGAGACTCCTTTAAACAGAAGAAACCAAGTCATTATTAATCGTCTAAAAATTGGCCATACTGCCTTAACACACAAATACCTAATAACAAAAGAACCACTAAGTATCTGCTCCAGCTGCTCTAACCCACTGACTGTCAAACATATCCTGCTTGATTGTCCTCAATTCATGGAAAAAAGAAGATCCCACGGATTCACAGATGATGATCTCAAGACAGTTCTCACTAAAAAATATCAACAGTGTTCAGCTATTTAAAAGACATCAATTTATTAATATTTTATGTATTTGTTATAGCCACTAAAAACCCTGCGCGGTTGCTGTGGTTTTGTGTTTACATAAAAAAACGATTTTGGTCTTCAAAATAGTAAATTGCTTATCACCTGCAAGAATTCATTTCTTTCAACAAAAGTATCCATTCTTATAATACCCGAGTTTTAGATGACATATATGTACCTAGAACTATGTATAAAAGTAAGATGAATTCGCTCTTTTTTAAAAGCTCCGTTAAATTTAATCAGTTACCAAAATCTGTAAAAAAATGTGTTAGTCTCAATCATGGACGTCTCAATAATTTCAAACTGTTAGTTCGGCAATATATCAAAAATTTATAGTGTACTTTCTTTATATTGTATGTATATTAGGTTTTTCTATTCAAATAAAGATATATCTATCTATCTATAAAAGCAATTGTATTGTTTTTTGTGCACACATTTTTATTTATAAATTTTCAAAGACACGTTGTAGTGTATTCGATGTTATCTTCAACTTTGGCAACCCAAATGAGAATGTTCTTTTGGCATTTAGCTTTAGCTTTTAGTGTAATTTATCTTTTAAATTTTTTGAATAAAATAATTTTTTAAAGAAATCAGAGACTCATTTTTAAATGTATTAAATATTTGTAGGTGAATCAACGACATAATTTTTGTATTATTTCAGATTGAAAGAATCCTGCGGCAATGCTTTACTTTCTTGCTGTAGGGACGAGCACGTCACTGACAACAGATTTACACCATCTCCACCTGAAGATCCCGTACCACAAGGATGTGGATATCGCCGAAAGAAAGGTGTAGGGTTTGAAATTACTGGAACCAAGGACAATGAGGCTCAGTACGGCGAATTTCCATGGATGGTGTCTATATATAAGCTTCCAAAAGACGAGAATTCAAGGCCTATTTGTGGTGGCGCTCTGATACATCCACAGGCAGTTATCACTGCGGCACATTGCGTACAAGACAGAAGACAAAGGTAAAAACTACCAGCATTAAAACATTACTAGAATCAGCTATAAATATTTTGTCGCTTACAGAATTACAATCGGTATTTAGTAATCTATTAAAGATATTATTCTTGGTGTCCTCTCGTATGGATCTAAAGAAACTCAATATGTTTGGCGTTTATTTGGCAATTATTTATTAGGATAGTTTTATTTTGTACTACGTTACTTTTTCAGATGGCAAATTGGAGCAGGAGAGTGGGATATCAGTGGAAAAATCAAACCATTTCCAGTGCAACTATCGGACGTTGAATCAGTAACGATTCACCCCGAATTCTACGCAGGAGCATTGTTTAACGACATTGCCTTATTAAAATTAACCACTGCCATTAATCTTTCCGAAAACATCGACACCATCTGTCTGCCGTCTCAAAATTTAGTCCACAAGCCGAAGAAAAGATGCTATTCGACAGGCTGGGGTAAGGATAAGTTTGGAAGACAAGGAGTCTATAAAACTATTTTAAAAAAAATCGATTTGCCTGTGGTACCTAAAAATAGATGTCAGGACTATCTCAGGAAGACTAGGCTGGGAGAATTTTTCCAACTCCATTATAGCTTTATGTGCGCCGGAGGGGAGAAGGGTAAAGATTCTTGCAATGGAGATGGAGGTAGTCCTCTGGTGTGTACTTTTGATGACGACAAGGACAGATATTATCACGCAGGTAACTATTTTATTGATGCATTTTTTGTCTAGAAATAAGTAGATATAAACGTTTAACTCTGTTTTATCGATGATTTCTGTTGTTGTGCTTTATTTTGTTATGCCATCAAATATTTCTTCCGAGTAATAACATTAATCAAATCTTCTAAATTAAAGACATCCTCGATATGTTGACATTTTCAATTGTTTTCGCGGTCTCATCAGAAATATTTCATTTTATTAAAATGCATAGTATCCAGTAGTCTGAATAAGCGAAGCTATTATACAATTTTGAAATTTTAAAATTTTAAAATTTTAAAAATTATAAAACTTACAATGGGGCTATATCTTACGAGCAAAAACTGATATGGAAAAGTGCATTGAACTGTTTTTAGGATAGTAGAGGGTAATGCCATTAAAATGACATAAAAGATAACTAACCCCCATCAAGCCCCTAGGCCCCCCACAACCATAAAAGTTAAATTGCAAACCCCTACTTGGGATACATAATTGAAAAGCTATAAAAAATACTATCCTCAAGAAAGCCTATCTTCATAGATTTAATTTAAGTTAAACAGAACTCGATTGTAATGGTAATACTGACGATATCAATCATTGGATGTTTAGGTGCATATATAATGATGCTGCTATCAAATATCGGAAAATCTAATAAAAGAACAAATACCTCTTCCTCAATGTCAATCTTCTATTTTATATATCTCTCGTCATAATATTAGGCATAACCAAATTTTTTGGGAATATTTAAAAAGGACTAAAAGAAAAATTTAGGATGGAATATGTAATGTGAATGTATAAATCTAGCTTTGTTTCCTCCGTCTATACTTATGTTATAATATTTACCTCCTAGCCATTGCCTGCCTTGTGTTGTAATAAAGTTGCTATGTATCTGTATTTAATTACATATATCACTATGAGGCTTGTGAAATTTCAAATTGAACTCTGTGTTGAAGATAAATCGATAATATGATTTTTTCATAGGTTCTTCATGTTGTTCATTACAAAATTCTTTATATAGATTATACTTCTTACCAATATTCAAATCGCCAGGAAGGCATTTAGTATTGAGATTGTCTTTTCTCGAATAATGGCTCTGATACTTTGAAAACATCTTAATGTGGGAAATCACCATATTTTTGAATAATTGTTTTATCTTGTTTGGAGGTTACTTCTTCCGTCGTTTATCAGGTTCACTCATTCCGAAGTCTGATATTTTTGAACAAACTACCTGAAATCTGCGCACAGAAATGTCAAAAGTTCGTAAGAAAAACATTAGACGCGTTTTCTGATCAGAATCATTATTGTGCTGTAGTTTTTCGATTTGGAAACTTCCTCATTGGGTAGTGCTGGGCGAACTTTTGATATATATGCAAAGAGAAATGCTGTTTGCAGATTGTATGAAGGTAATCCATAAAATGTTTGAAATAGTTTGCGTCTTTTCATTTCATTCATGTTTTCGTTGCAATTGAATCGACATACATGGTTATAGACTTTTAGTTCTCTGGCTTTCTGTGGTTTACTTTTTTTTCCGACATAGACTTTCCGTTCAGTTTGCATTTTCTTTGGTACGTTGTCTTTCCAAATTTTGGGGTCTCGCTTACGTTTTCTTGTTGTTTAAGGCTCTCTCTTCAATCCTGACCCCCCAGGGGGAGTGTAGTGGTCGACGTGATGTCGTGTATTGTCCGTCTCCAGAGATCTCTGTCTCTGGTCATTTCTTTTAATTCATGCATAGGTCTTTGGCATATTTCTGTAATTTAATCTATCCATCTTGTTGGGGATCTTCCTCGTGATCTTCGGCCTTCTACCTTTTCTTGTATTATGAGTCTTTCCATGTTTTCTGTGTTTACTCTCATAACATGCCCAAAATATTTTAATTGTTGGAGATGGACTTTAATAGAGAGTCGTTGGCTAACTTTTAGCTCTCTTAAAATTGAATTATTTGTTCTACGGTCGGTCCAAGTAATTCGTAACATTCGTCTCCAACAGAACATTTCAATAGCGTCTATCTTTGGCGTTGTTTAAGGAGTAATATGTAAATCTTTATTATTTACAGAGAAAAGCTCGTCAACTCCTGTGCCATCCTCTTATTCTTCTTTATCCGGTATATAATCTGAATCCTCGCCGATTTGGAAAGGATCGGATTGTTCTGCAAAAAATATAAAATATTCAATTTGATAGAAAACCGTAGTGCTGGTGCGTGGCAGTGGCGGATTTAGATCTTATGATGCGCGATTTGCCTTAGAGGGGTGATTTTTCAATGAAACACCAACCGAAAGACATAAAAAAAATATACCCAAATTACATAATAGATATAAATAATACCTTATATACATTAAGTTGCCTTAATATTCATTACTAACGTGTTTATTGGGCTAAATTTGTCTGTCTGTCTAAATTTCTATGTCAGCAAATATATTTTTGTTTCGACAATTATTTCTTTATTTTATTTAATTTTGGACCTTGTTAGTGGCAGAAATTTCCTAATTTTTCCTCCCGGTAGATCCGCCACTGGTGCGTGTACATTTTATTATTTACATTTTTGTTTTCAACTTACCTACAACAAAATATATCCTATATTACATTCGAAAACTAAATTTTATCATGTTAAGTAATTTGATTTAATTTACTTACCATTAGTCACCCGTCTGTTATCCAAAGTATAACTACAAGTTGGGCGATTCGTACTCCGACTGTTGGCTAGTAAAGTCGTCTATCATACGCTATACAAAGTGACATCGGTGTTTGTAGGTTATTTGGTTCACATTATTAGTTATAAGTATATTAAGTTTGTGTTTAAAAGGAAAACTACTGTAAGTAAATTTTGATTTTTTGAATATTTCTGCCCGGACCAATGTCCGGGGAAAACAACTCATCCACCAGCGGCAAGGGGCCGCCGAATGGTAAATTTAATAAAGATAGTCGAGTTAACGTTCTTGTTGAGGATATCATTGTACCTGAAGATATTGATATGAGTTCATGTATAAACAATAAAAATAATAATCAATTAAATGAATTATCTAGTACAGATACACTCGACAAAAACTTGGAATCCGACAAAAACTCGTATTATGATAAACAACGTTTATTATATCAATTAACAAATAGATTTAAACCTAACGATTTGGGACCGTTTCATGTTTTTGTTGAACATTTAGAATTAAATATTGGGAGATTACGTCCAATGAAATTGGGTGAAAAGTTAATAAATCTAAAAGAGTATGATAAAAATATTATTGAAATTAGTACGGTTGGTCGCAATCGTATAAAAATCGAACTTAATTCGGGCAGTATTGCCAATGAATTAGTTAAAGATCCATTCTTTGAAAATAATAATTTACTGGCATATATTCCTGGTCATCTTATAGAAAAACGCGGGTTAGTCCGATCTGTAGATACTTCCTACAGCGAGGAGGCCCTCCTAAAAATGATTAATTCTAGTGTACCTATCAAAAAAGTAAAACGCATGACTAGAGTCATCCAAAAAGACAACAATATGGAACGTGTTCCTCGTCAAATGATCATTGTTACGTTTGAAGGAAAACTTATTCCTCAATATATTTATATTAACAAAGTTAGATGCTCTGTAGAAACTTATATTAATCCAGTTATGCAATGTTTTCGTTGTCTCCGATATGGCCATTCCGGCTCACAGTGTAGGGGAAAGAAAAGGTGTAAAAATTGTGGGTCAGAAAATGAATCTGTGTGCGAAGCATGCACAATTTTTTGTGTTTATTGCAAAAATAATAGTCACAATTCTACTTATAAGGAATGTCCTGAATTCAAAAAGCAAACTAGAGTCAAAGAAGCTATGTCTAATTTGAATATATCTTTCAAAGAAGCTGAAAAAATTACAAAAACAATCCGGCCTATTCTAGCCTCATACAAAAAAATAAATTTGCCCCATTAATCGACTCGGATATAGAATTTCCTGCTTTAAAAACTTCTACAGCACAACATCCTGTCCCTAATACTTCGTCTAAATCGAACTTTAGGTCAACACATGATCAACCATCTTCTCCTAAACCCTTGCCAAAAAAAAGAAAAACTAGTGATTCTTCTCCCAATTTTCCACCCATTAGACGAGAATATAATACTAGCTTTTGTGCAGGACCGGTCTTCCAGTTTGGAAAATAGTCGCAAAATGATTTTTCAACACTTAAACATCAATTAATTACCATGTTAACAAGTTTTTTTCACCAATTTTCACAGAATCCATTATCAAATAGTAGTTTAAATTTTGAAGAAATAGAGTTTGAAAATAAAATTAAAAACATTGTTGATAATATATTTAAAACCTAAAAAAACAAAAAAAACTCAAAGATGTCCTTTAAACAAAATCTTAAAATTATTCAGTGGAACGCTAGATCTCTTAAAGCTAACAAAAATTCTTTTTACCAAATTTTAATGGAGGAAAAGTTTGATATTGCAATAATTTCTGAAACATGGTATAAGCCTACTGACAACATTAAGTTTAATAACTTTAACGTCATTGCGGTTAATAGAGATAAAGGTTATGGGGGAGTAGCAATTTTCATTTCACATAAAATTATATACGATGTCATTCAATTTAATCATAATTTTAATCCAAAAATTGAAGTTTGTGGAATCAATATCATTCTTGGTAACCAAAAACTCTCTATAGTATCTCTATATAAACCCTCCGATGTTAAAGCGAAATCTCAAGACTACATCAATTTATTTAGTCAAATAAAACATGATTGCATAATAGGAGGCGACTTTAATGCCCATCACGGCATGTGGGGCTCACCTTCATGCTCACATGATGGCAGAGTTTTGGTGGATGCTTTAGATCATTTTTCAAACTTGATTGTTATAAACGATGGGTCTGCCACAAGGATTTCCCCTCCTGGCCAGGCTAAATCTGCAGTAGATCTCACAATTGCTTCATCTAAGTTATGTCCTACACTTGGTTGGTCTGTTAGTCAGGATTCTTATGGATCAGATCATTACCCAATCAGTATTACGCTCAATAACTATTATCAC